ACATTTAAATAATTCTATATTGATTTATTAATAAAAATATGTGTTAAAAAAAATTCTGGTTTTTTTTGCACACTACTATATATATAGTTTGTATTTTTTTAAGTTATCAATAAATAAAATAAATAATAATAGTTTATTACTTTAAATATATATATGGATAATTATTTTTGAAGGTAATAAAAATATTAGATATGATTTTTTTAGATTTAACTTTTAAACAATTCATATATAATATAAATTTTAAAATTATATCAAAAGATTTCTGATCAATTTTCAAAAATAATTATCCACACATATATATATATTATTATTATTTTTTTTGTAAAGATAATATAAGTTATAATTTTATTTTTTTTTATTTTTTTTAAGGGCTAAAGTGCAATACACGCAAGGATTTTTATTGTAGATCAAAGATTACAAATAAGTTATAATTTTATTAAACAAATAGATTTTAATTCTATTTAATAAGATAAATAAAATATTATTTTTATAAATACTGTAGATTTAAAAACTTAATATTATAAATATATCAAATTTATATGGCTGATTCTTTTTGAAAACGACAAAAATGTTATATACGATTTTTTGATCCCTATTTTTTGAACAATACATATACAATATAAATTCTAGGAGTACAATTATAAAGTCAGAAAAATCCCTGTCCGCCTTCAAAAAGAATTACCCATATATACAATTTTTATTGTATAATTTAATTGATTTAATAATAAACAAATGACTTTAGCTTTATTAAAATTTCAAAAAATAATAATAATAATTTTATTCTTTATATCTTTAAATATACATACTGTACATACAGTATATTAATTAATTATTGATATATTCTTGCTCTAAATTTATAATACTATATATACTGTAAATAAATTAAATAATGTTAGTGTATTTTGTGGAACACCGATTATTACTAAAGTCAACTATTTGAATTATCAAGATATTGCTTTTTTAATTAAAAAACTAAAAAACAGATAATCAGGATGAACTTGTCAAGTTAATTTATCGATTTACTGTCCAGTTAACTCTAATCGGATTGAAACTTGATTGCATATTTGAACGTTATTTGATAAAGATGGAAACTCCGTTTATAGGACATGAACTTTGACGTACAGGTCACAGTGAATGTCATCCTTGTTTCTGGCTACAGTTTTATGCGATGTTACTTTTGAAAACAACTTTTTTTATTATTTGCTTGTTGGCAATGACATGGTGAAACCGCACATCCTTCCTTTAGAAGGATTAGAAATTGAAATCAAATAAACCACCATAATAGTATGTTACCAACAATGCCAAATTAACAAACAAATGAAGATACCGTATATACATCGACGCTAATTTCCTATATTCATTGCTTCACAAGATGCAGCCGTGCGTCAAAATCTGTCAATAATTTCTATTCTAGCACACTATCATTGTTTTACGAATGCAACAGTGCGTAGAGTCTGCCAACGATCTTTACTCTGCAAAAAATTTTGATATCAATATACAAATTAGGAAATAAGAAACGGTTGATATAGAGTACACTTTTTTCAATTTCAATTCAGAGGAAAAAAAATATATATATATATAGAGTGACACTCAACTTTCTCCCAATTCTCAGTTTCATGCTTTCAAAAGAATTGCATTGAAATAATAAAAAGATACTCACGATTCAAAATAGCAATTTTACGAAAAAACAATGGGTGAACAAGTTCACAATACCAACTTTGTATTCATCAATTCTAGCGATCCCTTAATGCCGAGTCAAGTGATCAACGACACAAAACCATTTATCCGACTTCCTTTTCCACCTATCATTGATCCACATGACCTTATCACATTTTCAAAGGGAAGTTGCACTCCTTCTCGAGCTCCCAATGCATTCATAATCTACCGGAAATTATTCATTAAAACTGCAAAGAGTGAGGGATACACTTTACCAATGACAGTAATCTCCTCGATGGCTTCGAAATCTTGGGAACAAGAACCGGAAATTGTAAAAGTAGAATATAAAAGGATTGCGAAGGAAGCATTTGAATACCGTAATGAAATTTATCCTAAGGTCAAACGTGGAGGAAAGAGAAAAACCTGGAATGTGATTAGTTTTGATCACAAATCTGATACATCGGTTCGAAAGAATGAACTCTGTAAATCGATCAATAATAGATCAGTGGAAATTCAACAGAAAACAGATACACCAATTTCATTTCCAGATTTTGAATGTCCAATTTTAAATCTTGATGTATTACCTGATTTGACAGACTATATTTATCCTAGTCCGGATCTGACGGTTTCTAGTGGATTTAGCTCTCCTGACATAAATAACTTCAACTCCCCAACAATGTCGCTTGAAAACTCTGAAAATTATTGCATCGATTCTCCAATTCAATCGGAAATATTCAGCTCTTCAGATATGAGTGATGAATTCATAATCAATTCTCCAACAATATCACTTGGAAACTATCAAACCGACTCTTCCGACATGAACCTTCGGATCAACGATTCATCACTCATCGGTTTTCTCGAAAATCAATTTGGTCTTGGAATTTTCGAGCCCGAGAATGTTAATGAAACCATTGAGGAACATAATGATTCTTCACTATTGAATGGAATTTCAAATGACGTTGCTCAGTCGTTATTCTCCGATCTCTTAGATTCTACACAAATTTTCACCGATAATTCAACTTTTTCCGATATTACCGACCTATCTTTTAATTTTGCAAATGATGAAATTTTTTATTTTTGAACTATTTATTATTAATAAAATTTTCATATTCATTATTTTTATTCAATCATTTTAATCATCTATTTTAGTCTCATTATATTAGTTAACGACTTATTGTTAAAAACAACTATGATTTAAGCATTAACAAAAATCTACACTATGTATTCATATGCTTTATGAAAGTTATGATTCAATACTTATGATATTTAAAACTATCTTTTCCAAATTGTAGTAGTTTAATAATTAAAAAAAAGATTTTATTGTATTATGCTAAAAAATGAATAAATATGATTAATAATCTTTACATAATAATATAACGTTGATCGAATCTAATTGTTAATATTTTTGAACTTTTGTTACTATAAAATACGTCTTTCTTTTAACGTCTGACTCAACTATTTTCTCCTGAATTCCAATCCTGATATATTAACCAAAGAGAAAAGCACTTAATGATATTTCGTAATCTGAAATAAATCATTAGTTGCATACCTTGTGATCGCTTAATGTCAAGAGCGGTTTATGTGATGAGTTTGTTGAAAATGAGACACATGGGCCTCTTTCTCTTGAGGAGTCAATTTGTAGCGATTTACAGGGTGGCACAAAATTTTTTGCAAAATTTTTTTTAAAAATTAAAAATTGTATTATTATTTAATAAATATTAATTTAAAAAAATATATATAATTAAATATTAAACAATCTTAATTGAAATATTTTTATATTATTTATCACGAAAAAAACATATAAAAACATATATAAAAACTTAAATTTTATGAAAATCAAGTTATAAAATATAAAATTTTTAATTAAAGAAAATTATTTAAAAAAATAATACTAATATAATTTATAAACTAGTTATAAATAAAAATAATTTTATAGTATTTATATATTCATATTTAATTTTTATTTAATTTAAATAAGTTTATATTTAAGTTAAAT